CCGAGGCCGCTAGTTGCGGTGACGGTCAATGGATGGCGTCTGGTTTTAGACGTCTATTTTGACGGGAGAGGCGACCCTTGTCTCTTTATATATATATATGTTTAATAGTATTATTCGTAAAAAAATAAAATATTGAATAATAAGGAAAAGTGTATCAGATTATCAATTTTGAAATGTAAGCATTCTTTTCAGAAAACTATTAATGTTCAATTTAAACATACCTATGACATGAGACTATCTGTGGTTTATATTCGATAGTAGGTTATATCATTTTATTAATATATAAATATTTTGAATATAAATAAACGAATACCTTTGACAGTGTAACTACTGAAGAAGTAATTTATAAATTTTTATTGCCATCTATCGTTAAAATTTGTAACAAATGAATTTACTGGCAATGAGTTGGTTTTCAATAATATCATCAAATATTATCTCTACAGACCTTATTGCAATGATATAAGTTATTGAATGAGAGGGCTTGGCTCATCAGTGAACACTTTCAGCGGTTTCGCCAAATTAATCTCTAGACCGCTCTACTATTGTATTGGATTGGTTTTAGGATATTCCATGTATTTTCTATGGAAGACAGCTTAGGGTGGTATGTGAACCTAGGGACTTAAGCTTTTAGGTCTGTTTAGGTACATACATTAAATTTCAAGGTATTGCATCGAGCAATGCTCTTCCGTAAATAAGGTTAATAAAAATATATTTATTAGCAAATTAAATTTATATATTTAATTGCCATCTATCGTTAAAATTTGTAACAATATTATTACTGTAAAACGACATTTAAAAATCCCGCATGTGTTTCTTTTGAACGAAAAATCGAAATTTCTTTTAAGGAGAAATAACGAATATTTCTAACCTTAGGGATGAAGTATGAGAGGATGAATTGTGAAGAGTAATGATAAACGGAGTGAACAGGGATTCCCATCCATTGTATGTACTATTAAGACAACAATAATCTCCATAGTAGCCATAGAAGAAAACACACAAGTCAAAGAAGAGCTTCTCCTTATATAAAATAAGCTCATCTCCCCGACTTTAGTTTATTCTTCTTAATATGTACTATATTACAATGTAAATATTTTCTAATAATGAAAATTTAAAAAAATAATAATTGTACAGACACACACATACTTGGAAATATTTATAATCCCATTGCATATATAGATGTTTAATTAAAAAGACATATATTGGACCAAAATATAATTTATAATTAATAGGCTAATCCCTTAATAGAATGTTCAAATCTAAAAGCTTGAGGGATGAGTTTCTTTTAATAGTAGAGCGGTCTAGAGATTAATTTGGAGAAACCGCTGAAAAGGTTCACTGATGAACCAAACCCTCTCATTCAATAACTTATATCATTGCAATAAGGTCTGTAGAGATAATATTTGATGATATTATTGAAAACCAACTCATTGCCAGTATATTCATTTGTTACAAATTTTAATGATAGATGGCAGTAAAAATATTTATAAATTACTTCTAAAGTAGTTACACTGTCAAACTCATCCCTCAAGCTTTTCGATTTGAACAAAATATAATTTATTTTACTTATATTTCAGTTGACTGAACGCCAACCTTTTTCAAGGTATTATAACATATTAATGTTTGTCAACAACAAACATAGCGCCACATAATATCAATCAGCATTACATAATAAAATTTCCAAAACGATATATTTTTATATAAGATATATAACTATCTCACACACGTGGTAATAAACACCAGTAAAAGATGGACAATTAGGGAGACTATATATTTACATATAGGAGAGCCAACAGTGAGAAGCCACTCTCCAATTCCAGCACTAGCCCCTCCTCCAATATGACGTCTATCATCCCTATTATCATAATCCCGAATCACATTATAATATTTATGAGCCAATTAAGCTTAGAGGCTAATTAAACCTGCACACAATTAATTTGATTACGTCGACGGGCGCTGCCATCTAGCGGGATTCCTTGGAATTATTAAATCACCTTTCCCTTCGTCCTTTATATCCTCTGCTTCACTGAGATTTGAAATTTTCTCTTCCACGTTGGGTGACTTTGGGATGGAAACATGGCTCGCCTTGTTGATTGCACTCTTTGTTGGCTGTAAATAACCCGTTAAACAACACGCTCCCCTATGTGCATATATTGAACTTTTAGTGCAAGTTATATTAAGTATGAAAACTATAAAATAGTAATATTATTATATTTATTCCTCTCTCTATTTTTTGTCAATGAAATATATTTTTTCTTCATATTTTAATTATTAATTATATATTCTCTATTCATATTGTGTCGCGTAGAGAATGAGGAAAGACAAACTTCAGGATGAGGCAGCAATTTATTTAAGGCACAAGGACAAACTAGAATTGATAAAATATAAGATAAGCAATAAGGAAAGTATACAGAGTGGAAAATATATTTCTATATATATATATATTAGATAATAAAAGGCATAATTGGATTTAATAAAATATTTATTTTGCCAATATTTCGGCTGGCTAAACGCCAACCTTTATCGAGGCATTACATTTTTGTATACACAAACTCAGCGCCGCATAGTGTCATAATATCTCAGTTGATATCATTTAAAATACAGAGTAGGTGGGAGAAATTTGTGCATGAAAATATTATTATAAAAATGCAATCAAATATGTAAAATATCTAAAAATATTAAAGGAAAAAATGAGTTCTATCTTATATTAAAAATATTTAAATATAAAATATATATATATATATATGGCAATATATTGAGCACACCACAAGTTGGAAGAGAAACCTAGACAACCAGAGAGAGAGAGGGGACCGGCCACAGCCGGGCGGCCATTCGTGTCGCACACAATCCCAAACTGTCTTAAAAGTCCCGAGGTGTTAAGTGACGAACCCCAGGAGCCCCTTGAAATGTCGCTGATGTCTAAAGTGACCGGTCCTTACCCTCCCGTCTCTCACTGGGTTGACTGTAGGCTTGCTTTATTATTCCAGGAAGAGTATATATTATGACATATATATATTAAAAACAATGTAGGCATATCCTGACCAGGAGCACATGTGCCTTTCCGAAGGCAGAGCGCCATCTGGTGGAACAGAAATCAACTATTCATTGATTTAACCTGTTCCCTGATATTTGGCCAACCTTTGTTTTTAATATCAACACCTGACCCACTTATTTTTTTCTATTGTTTTTTTTTTTTCATATATATATATATATTAAAATGAATAATCTGTTCATGAAAATAAATATTTCGGTACTATATAGTCAATAATGGAGTCGAAAAATACATGGGTGAAGACCAAAATTTGAAAACTCACAGACCTATCAAAGTTTTACAAGTAGTTTTCTGATTCATTGGTCGTTTGTTTCCTTGTACTAGCAGTTCAGAGTTTGGCAGGAATTTTGATATAACATGGATAAAACAAAAAGGAAGATGGCTAGAAGAAACATAGCGGATGTTATATCTCAACACCAACAACCTACAACGGTATTAAAATATACAGTTATCAGCGTCATAATCAAATATTTCTTAATCAATTCTGTCACCGTTTGCTTTGTGAATGGAATAAATACCCAAATATGGCCATTTCTCATAACCATTTATTTATTTATTTATTATCATTTACAAAGCACGCGATATCCGTCTTGGATATTTGCATGCATACACAAGTTTGGGAGCTTATTTACAGTGATTATTAATAGGAAATTAGTTATTATAATAGAAATTATTAACATATTTGTCAGTTAGTTAACGATTTAATTACACTATAATGAATATTAGTGAACATCACATAAGAACAAAAATTTAGAGCTATTTACAGCAAATAACTATATTACAGCCCAGGCTATCTATTACTAAAAAACATTCTACAAAATCTATTAAAATTTATATACATATATCTATTATTAACTATTTGATTTAGACAATTTATATTTATTTGATTTTTGACTCTCAAGTCCTCTACAAGTCGACAGTCCGTTAAAATATGTACAGGATTTTCTTCTTCTGCACCACATGAGCATTTAGGTGAATCCGTCTTTCTGACTTTGTACAAATATGATCTAAAGTTACCGTGTCCAGTAAAAAATTGGACATTGTAAAAGTTTGGCTTGACATATTTGGGTATTTGGGAATCAGTGAAGAAGGACTTGAAAATGGTATTAGTCTTCTCATAGTATTTCTGCAATTTTTCCCTTATGTAATTAGAAATTATATTCCTACTTGAAGAGTCAAATCGGTTGTAATTTATTTCGGTTTTCAACATGTTAGATTCAATATAATCAGTAAGTTTGGGGACTTGTGCAAGTATGTGTGTACAATCCGATGATGTTGTACTGTATGCCTGTATACAATGTTTTAAAATACTATATTGAAGAGAATTAAGTTTGTCTTTAGACTTTTTGTTTATGAATGGATACCATATTGGATAACCATAAGTAATTGTACTTCGATATAATGTCTTATACAATATCAGTCTTCGTCTAAAGTCCAGACCCCATGCTTTCTTTGTCAGGCCAAATAGGTATCCACTAGCTCTAGTTACCTTTATGATCATTTCATTAACATGAGGCGTAAAGTCCAGTTTGCTTCTGACTCGGTGATTTTTAATAGTTACTCCTAGAATCTTAAGTTCTTCAACCGGTTTAATTAACTTGCTACCTGAGACTATTATATCGCTATTGCATTTATATAAATATAATATTTTTGTTTTTTCATCTGACAATTTTAATTTACGACTTTCACACCACTTATTGATTTTTCTTAATACATTATCTATTGTCTTTCTTAGTTGTTCAGGAGTTTTATTCCAACATATTAACGTAATATCATCTGCATATCCTATTGTTTCACAATTATCATCCAGATTATTATTCAGTATCTCATTAATAAGAATATTCCATAATGTGGGAGACAGTGGTCCTCCCTGTGGACATCCTTTACTTAGTTTCTTATTAATTTCAGTTGAGGAATATCTTAATCTTATTCTTCTTATAATTCTTCATAACCATCGGTGGTTCAGTGGTAGAATGCTCGCCTGCCACGCGGGCGGGCCGGGGTTCGGTTCCCGGCCGATGCATTTTTTTTTTTTTACAATTTTTATAACTTATTTATATATTATACAAGAATGACATCCACGGCGTCAATTTATAATTGTAACGAATAGTATTTGAATAAAAGCATTTAATCGGGTAAAACCCGGGCGTTGCCCTGGTCATTCGGCTAGTTCTATATATTGAGCCGATACCCTGCGTCCAGTTGTCGACGGTATACTCTAGTTTGACCAATTTCACTACTTAATTCTAAGGCGATAACCTGCCATCTATATATAATAAATGGAAGTATTAGAGCACGTATGTTTCCTTTTAAATATAAAACAAATTCTACTCTCCCTACTGCGATGAAAAAGGTTTTACTACTTGTTTACGCCCTGAAAGTCAAGCTACTTGGTTTCTTCCAACCACAGAAAGCGCTCTATTCCAACATTTCAAGGTTCTGGCGTTCACTTTAAGAAATTTGAATATTTTTCCCCACTTCTAACCGTTCAGACCTCCCGCCTTGAAACTAACATATTTAGACTCTATGTGGACATAATTTATTTGATGCCGAAATTTCTCAATTCACATCCTAATGTAATTCAGGCAATTCCTATCAAGCTATACCTATCAAGTATGTTATGAAGGTTCATTATGGCATCTAGTACAGATAGATTATCAAAATGTTTAATTCAATACGGGCCATTATTATTTTGAAACCTCTTAGCAACTATAATTGAACTGGGGATCAAACTCTTACTGCGGTAAAGAAATACAAGATTACAGACATATTTTGTAGAATGCCTAATATTCGGGAATTATAGAAAACCAGAATTTATTCCCTTCGAAAAAATGTACAAATTGTAGATAGTGAGGCAAAATACAGACAATTTGAATTATTTTTTAAATATATATTTTGAATTTTTTTCTATAAATCAAGCCTTCAATTTATTTTTGACTTGCTCCTGTAAATTTATCTAATTGTAAAATCACTTGTTCTAAATAATTGTATATTGACGCTAATATCCCTAGCAGTGTTTCGTGTTTTGATTCTATTAGTAAAATCGTTTTTCAAAAGGAAAGGTATTTTTCACCATCTTTTTTTTATAGGTTATTGTTTTGATTAAAGGAAGCGTTTTGGTTTCGAAACAGTCTGAAAGATACAAGCAGCGAATTGAATATTTGGCACACAGATGACAAAATAGACATCTTTAATGTATTACCCAAGGATAAAAGTTAAAGAATTTGCATCTTTTAGCCTGTATATATAGGGATTAAGACAATAACTCTGAAACATATTTGATACATAGTGACCTCTAATGAAGAAACACGAGATAACCTATTGTGAACAAATTTCCTGTCTCCTTAAAAAAAAAGAAGACAGGTGACATCAAAGGTTTTCAACTTCCTTAAGTTTTGTCCATGAGTGGAATTTACATCGAAAATAAAAGGTTATATTAATTTTTGTTTTAAAAAATTGTATTCCATGTGTAAGACAAAAAAGGTAGTGAGAGGATACGTCTGCAGAGTATTCAAAATACCCAAAAAAATCAAAGAGTAGCCGATTTTTTTATACTGGTGTTTTTATTAAATACCGATACATACAAAATGCCTAAAAATATCTATATATGAAACCTTTCTATAAATGATCTTAATGAGAAAAAGATCATATGTATAATAAGGCGACAAAATATTAAAATAATATCTATCTATGAACTAATAATTTGTTAGAATAAGAAGTTATTTAATTTTAAGAAGTGGCGTTTTACTTCTAAAAATCCCACTCCAATATTTGAGAGATCGGTAAAGAAGTCGCGGTGGAATTGAATGAAATCCCTGGAAGAAGTCGCTCATCGTCTCAAAATCAAATATTAGAAAGTTTGGCCGAGTTGGCGACACTCAAGAAAGGACGCCAATTTATTTATTTTAGCCTTTTCTTCAAGGCGCTAGCGACGGAATGGAAGCTCATATGGCAACTTTTTGTAAAACTCCTTCGAGGAAACTTTTTAAAAGTTTTTATTGCAGGCAAAGTGATAACTCTTCTCCCCAAGTATTCTTCTGCTTCAAAATTATCACAAGTATGGAGTGGTCTGTTTGAAATTTCTCGCTTTTTTATTTTCAAAGATTACTTCGCTTTTTAAATCTATGGTGCAGATATTCTATATATATTTTGGAATAAAATCATTTCAAATTATTTTAAATCAAATATTTAAAACCTATTTTGATGATTAAAAAATAAAATGACGATTTTTTAAAAATGAAAATAAGTATTTTGATTGATAACCGCGAGAATGAAAAAAATATCATACAAGGATAAACATTCATTTAAAATGTTCAATTATTCACACTAATCACTTCAAGTAAATTTGAAGCCAGCGTTAAAAATAGGATACGGGAGAAAATGATATATAGATGAAAAATAGGATCCTTTTATATAATAATGGTCGACCTCACAAGGTCCTTTCTGTTGCTCAATATTTTGCGAATAATTTCCCTCCCTATTCCCCTGAACACTCCCCTGATTTTTTTCTCTTCCCTAAAATAAAAGTTTTCTTGATGGCTAAACATTCTGATGGTGTAAGTACAATTATAGAAAATTCGAAGATATTTTAAGAGCCACTCCGAAAAACTAATTTACTCTGTTTTGAGCAGCAGAAAAAGATGGGAACGTTGTTAAACGCTGTTCTAAAAAACCCATTCAAAGAGTCTGCCAACAGTATCACTATAAAAGGAAGTTCCAAAAATGCAATATAACAGCGGTATGGTAGATTAAACTGGCGAAACCGCTGAGAGGGTTCACCACTGATGAGCCAGGCCCTCTCATTAATTTTTCCATTGCAGTAAGGGCAGTAGAAATTGTTTAATATCAAAAAGAATCTTACGCCTTTAAAATAGTTTTGAATTTTATAATAAACTTATAACAACCTTGTCTCCCTACTTAATGATCAATAAGATTATATTTCTGTGAAAAATAGACACATCGGGCAGTTGAAGTTTTTTATTTTCTCAACGTTTCAACAAATATCTTTTGTCTTCGTCAGAAGAAATAAATAAAAATAAAGCATTTGGCAAGGTGTTAAAATTTGTTAACGCTTTGCCAAATGCTTTATTCATTTCTCCTTACGAAGTCAAATAATTTTTTTTTATGTTGATAAAATAAAATACTCTAACTGGATAAAGTGTTTATTTTTCACAGAAATATTAATGCCGGCCAGGCGCAACCTCTATTTTCATAATTAGATTATAGGTATGCAAGACGTATTTATATTAAGTGTCTCTAAAATAAAATTACAATGGGATATCTTTTATTTTGTCTAATTGCTACTAGTGATAAATTAACCCATTGAAGAGCTCTAAAGTTTTAAATGTAAAGTTGAATAGATTCTCATTGTGCAAGTGTATTTTACAGATTCTTAATTTATAACCTTTCTTTATTTAGTAGAATCCCCAAATATATAATACATTTTAAAAATATTATATACGAATACATTTTTTTTCGTTTGAATATATAATATATATGAGTCTCATTCTCGAATCATTTCATTTTTATGAGCTATAGATAGTGAAAATATTACCATATATATAGTATATATAAATATTTATTTATATTACTCATAGAATATGTATCTTCTGCTGCTTTTTATAAACTACAAACGACTATAATGAAGCTTTGAGTTGTCTATTTCTTTATTTTATACAAATATTTGTATTAATTATGTAATTAGATATACATGTTAATCCTCATTACTAACGAAGACCCTAAGTGATGGCATGAACGACTATACCATAAAAAATGGCCGTCCAAATTAAATTTAGCAAATATATGACGATTAATTCGAGGAGTTAAACTGGAGGTTGTGGTGTCCATTTTTCAACAGTTCTTTGTTTTTCCTCGGCCTACGTGAGGAGCATTTATCACTATTAAGGTGTACCGTTGGTCGGTCACTGCTAACCCGATTATACCAGCAGCTGCAGCGAGTGATGGATCGTTGGCCCACATTAAAATAAACGATTTAGTTCCCTCTCCGAGCCGAAGGATTTGTGCGACACTTTTAAGAGTTACAAATTACCCCGTGACTAATGATCTTTCTCAATATTTCAGAGTAATTAGGGAGATCTTCTCCCTCTCTTCTCCATCTTTCTTTTTACCTTATTTTTCCAATCTTCTAGACGATTTTTAATAATGATTGTTGTTTAATAACATCCTGATAATAGGGCCTCGATAAGGTGTCCCTATTGAGATGGTAATGAGGTGCTAAATGAGATTTTTGCTTTACTTTTTCTGACGTATTCTAAATATAGTATTAGTAAATTTGCTCAGGCCTTTTATCTTTGATGAAGTAATTTCAGAGAATTTTTCATTTTGTTTTTGCTTGTTTTCTCTCTCTCTCCAAATGGTCTTTGTTTGGCATTGAGTAAATAGCGTCATTTAATTTATTTATTGAGTTTTTAAGAATGATTTTATGCCTTCTTTTTATATCAAATTTTACTCGCATTACTATTGTTCAATATGAGAAATACATCCACTTCTTATATTATCATTTTAATAGGGTATAATGCTGTGTAATATATATTAAATGTTAATTAAAGTATTCAGTATGAAGAAGTTTTGTAGTTGAATATATTTAGGAAGTAAAACAATTAATTATATTTCTTATATACATAACACAAACATCTACTATGTTTTAATGGAAGGCTAGTAAAATGGCTCTGTTCTAATTGTTGTCACCGCTTTACCAGCAGTATCTTTTTCTGGGAACAAGGTAAAACTGGTGGGGAAAAAATGGCTCTCGATTGGTAAAAACTGTGATGGGTTAACCCTCATTGCTGGTTAGTTGAACTTTGGAATTATATGTTAAAAAACAAACTTCTACTGCCCTTAATGCGAGGAAAAAAATTTGGGGGGAGCTTAGCTCATCAGTGGTGAACCCTCCCAGCGGTTTCGCCAATTTAATCTATCAGACATATCTTTTTTTTTTTTTCCTAAAAGCTTATGTCCATAGTTTTCCAGAAAACAATTTCTAAGACTCCTCCCTTCAGTCTA